TCTCATTCATCAGAGTACTCCATACTATCCATAGGAAGCATTGAATAAAAGGGGAATGCTAAGGACCCATTGAAATTGCTTCAATGACTGGACCCAGTCATTGTGTTCAGTTTGGCCACCCGGCAAGTGAACTTGATCATGCATAGAGCAAAGGGTGTGTAATCGTTGCTGAGTAAATCATGGGGGCCTTATCGGATGGTCACGACGTTCAACATAATCAATTGATCTCTAGCATCCGAAGATTAACGCGACTGCTACTGTTGCATCACAGTAATCTAGTAAAACAGTCACAATGGATGCCATCAAGTGGCACTCTATCTAAATCACTTCACTATTTGGCCATTGTCGATGCATGTGTCAACGAGATGCCGAGAATTACAGTCCCAGTCCCATGGTCATTTATTTTACACCTATTTTGTCGCACTTGCTTGGACCCAGTTTTCTTCTTCTTCTTCTTCCTCCAATGCTGGGAATCGTGCTTCTTGATCGAAATTGTTTCCGGTTTCGTCCAAGGATGCTGGTTGGCCGAAAATCAGAGCATCTCTCACAATTTATTCTGCAGCAACCTAGCTAACCAGGCAGCGCCAGAAGATCACGGAAGGGGTATCTCTGCATCACCAGCCAACCAGCTAGCTCCATCCACTGAACACAACTCTTGTCAGAATCGGTCGAATCTTGTAGCAATTTCGCCGAAACCTCTTTACCTATCTGCTCACAAATACCAACTCAAACAAAAAATTTACATAGAATGATCCGCACTATGAACCCTGCAATCCTCTTGCCCTACCGCGACGCCTCCACCTTTGTTCCTCGCATCGACCAAGCTCCTCGTCTCATGCAGCGACAGCTACCAACTGCTGCCAACGCCGCCGTGGAAACATACATGATGGAAAAGCCAACGGCCAGCAAGGACTCCTCCTGCGCCACTCCTCCGTCTCCCTCCTGCGTGGCGCAACAAATGGTGTGTGAAGAACCCCTGTTGACTCTCTTTGCAACCCGCGACGCGGCCGCCGTGGTCCTGCAACGAATGGTGCGTGGGACACTGGCCCGTTGGAACGTGCGAGTGCTTCAACTCCAGCACAAACTGGCGGCCATTCAAGCTCTCAAGGAGAAGCAATTGCGCAAACTGCGTCAACGCACCGAGCAAACCAAGCGCGCCGTGAAAGCGCAACACGAATACGTCGAAGAGCATCGCGTAGTACGACGACGACTGCGACGGGCCAAAGTGCTGCGCACCAAGTTTGCCGAAGAAAAGGTCTTGCTACTGGAAGCCAATGCACAGCTCCGATCGCAATGCCAACAGCTCGCCCAGAGCAACGACGAGTGTGCCCGAATCCTTTCGACGTATATTCAAAACATGGAACTGGCACAGCAGAACTTGACCTGCCTCAAGGTCAATCGCCTGCATCTATTGGATACCTGTGACACGTACCGGACGATTGTCGCTGTCTTTCAGCGTGTAGTGGGGACAGATGAAGAACGGGAACCAATTGCCGTTGCCGTTGAGTAATAACAGATCACAAAACTAGCTAGCAAACCATTTTTCTTGGGGGTATTCATACTACTACATGTACCGATAGTCTAGTTCTAGCTAGGCCACACAACTTTGAGAGAGGGAGCGATACTTTCTTCCGCAATAGGAACCAACAACGGTCTTCCGCATCAACACTTGCAGGCCATCGGTACTAGTAGCGAGCCAGCTACAGAGATGCGGAAGGCAGCCGAGGCCACGAGCATTGGATCATTGCTACCATGCAGAGTGGAGCTGGAGTTGCCTACATGCGTGACCACTGGAGTGGTTCAAGATCACTGACGTTCCATTCCTCCGAGTTGCTGAGGCCGGTGGGAGCTCGTGGGGCGTGAACCTCGGGGACCTTTGCTCTGGGCTAATGGTGAAAGGAGCTACAGCCCCACCTGATACCCCCGTTTTTGGTTAAATCCATCCTTCACCAGCGAACTAGAAATGTTGCGGAAGAGATGTACAACTAACCGAACAAGGGATGACTGCACCTTGGGGTAATGTCGTTCAATCCTCAAGTTGACAGGCCAGAGCTGATGAGGCTGCTACAAAGTACGGTCCGGTGGAGCTCGTGGCTTGAACTGCGGGGACCTTTGCCTTGAGCCTTGAGCGTTGAGCTACAACCAGCGTCCTGGCGAAGGGACCAACAGCCCCGATATTAAGTCAGCGGAGCTGTCTTACCTCGGCAACAAACTCAACACAAAGTCCGAAGATAGCTCCAAGTTCCTTCTCTACTCTACCCAGATCCAGAATCAAAGAGAGGGGAGGAAGGATGTACTGGTATGTCGCATGCAGCATAATTAGCAAAAAGAGTCGAGTCAGCATGACTGCTTTCTATTCCATTGGCGATACCCATACCGCTGAAGCTTTGTTTGGGACTGTCTGTAACTGTGATTTCTGACTAGCTAGCTAGCTTTACGGATAGGTTGTACCGCCTTGGGTGGAGGAATCTCCTTCTTTTGGAACAATGCCATGAGTTTGGCCAGCAAAGATCCCCCGTAGAGTCGCCCCACAAAACAAATGGCGCGGAACAGTTGGAATGCTGCAAAGCAACCCCACACCTGCTCGACATTGCCGCCAATCTTTTTCACCCACACCAAAGCCGTGGGTAATAGTGCTGTGCTGACCAGATACACGGATGCCAAGAACTTCAACTCTCGCTTGGCTAGCAGAATACCTTCCGCCACAGCCACTGGCGCTGCTAGAAAGCAACCCGCCAGCAAGTACTTGGCCAATGGTTTCACAGCAACTTGTACAGTCGAATCCGATGAAATGAGGTTTCCAAAGTACGCCGGTACCAGCGATGCAATGGAAGAGACCACAGTGGCAACCAATAGCCCCAAGCGTACCAATTTCGTGGAAACACCCATGGACTTGTCCAACCATGGCTTTACCTTGCTGTCTTTTGTAACGTCGTAATCGGGATCTCGCTTTTGCATGGACAAAACGTAGTCCTTCACAGGTGCAAAATAGGGTGGAAGAAATGTTTGGGCTGTTTGGCTAATGACTTCCAGAAAGGGGCTGACAAAAAAGAAGAGTGACAGGATGATTTGATGGGTAGCCAATGGTATTGGCTGGCCTGGCACTCCTGCGGCGGCATTCGTCATGAATCCAAATGCCGCCAACTTTCCCAGGATCAGAGTGAGGACTGGTGCGGCAAATGCCAGGAAAGATTTGCCCGAGACAACACTTTCGGCTCGTTTCATGATGCCGAGATTGTGATCCCGCACTAGTCGTTTTCTTGCCGGTCCCACGAGAGCCGCTGTGGCCGCCAACTGAGCCACAAGGGTAGCAATCGCCGCACCTTGCAATCCCATTTTCAATCGGTTGACAAGTACAAAATCTCCGACCAAGTTGATTGCTGTGGAGTAGACAATGGCAATGAGCGGAGTGACAGAATCTTTGGCTCCCAAAAGTGCAGCCTGCAGGACACCCAGTAGGAGCGACGTTGGCATGGACAATGCTCGGATTGTTACGTAGTCAACTGCCGAATCTAGCAGGTAAGGATTGGCTTCCACCTCGTGACCTTTGGCGGTTCACAGCAAGTAGCAACAGCTTCAGCAGGGCGCATGGAAATAAAGAGGAACATTACAGGCTTATGCATGCATGCAGAGGTGTACTTACCAATGTATAGCTTGAGTAGTGGGCGGCATGCCACGAATAGAAAGATCATGAGCCCGATCCCACAGTTCCGAGCTACCCTGGCAGCAGTGCGAACCACTCCCTCTGCTTCATCTGATTGCTCGCCGCTCCGAGCTCGTGCACTGGAGTACAAATTTGTAGTGGCGACATTTAGAAAGGCAAACAAGTAGGTAGCACCATCAAAGAAGGTTGTGGCAGGCCCCAATGCAGCCAATTGCTTTGCAGATTCAGCTGCTGACCCAGAGAGACCAACAAAGCTTGTGTCCACAAGTGAAAGGAGCGGTCCAGATACCCACAATGCCAAGCAGGGCAGAGCAAATTTCCGAATATCTCCAAAGGTAGGATCAGCTGGCGGTTTGGCAGGCAGAGAAACTGTAGAAGCGCCTCCCCGGATCGTCTCTTTGGGATCTGCTACGCCATCCTCTTGAGGATTTTCCTTGTTGTCGTCGTTGCCGAGCACATCATCTCGACTTGACTTGGCAACGGGATATCTTGTGTTCTGAGTAGAAAAGGTCCTTCTTGGAACAATAGGAAGATTGTGGTTGGATGGGGCAAATGCACTCCCCAGGACAGCCACGGACAGAGACAGCAGGAGTGCCAACACAATTGTAGTGCTTGGTTTGTAAGTCATTGTTTGCAATTAATTGTCAACTCAAAGACTATCTCAGCAACCTTCGAAATCGATATCCAGCCCTCGGCACTGACTTGCACCCGGAAAAGCAGAGTCTTGACTTTACAAAGGCGTTAATGGCAAAGCGCTGGGTATTTTCTGTTATTGTTTCGCTCCCTTCTAGCTAGAGGTGGTTGATGAAAAAGTGAGTGTTGTGCTTGGAGGGAGGGATGTCACCACTGACGTTTCGTGTGGGAGATTGTGTCGAATGATGAATCTTTCAATCGATTGAAAGATTCTGATTCGATTCGATCCGATCCGATGTATCATCCCAATATCGATAGTGAATTCGAATATTCTACGTCTCCAGTTGCCTGGCTTCAAATCCTGGTGGTAGGAGGCATAGTCCAAATCAGTGACACATATGTCGATAATAGCAGTAGTACCACGTTCGAACAAGCCGCAAATGGAAAGTTCACTGCGCAAGAGCTCGGGGGCTGGAGGGGGTGAGAGGAGGGGAGGAAGGGGGTAACGTAGAAATAGGGTGACGGGATGGGATGGTGGGGGCTGGAACAGATGGAAGGGGTAGTTCTGACTGAATGCCAGAGGAACCAAAGCATTTGCATAGGGATCCAGATAACAAAAGGGCCAAGCAGGGCAGCATCTCGAAAGCTGCTTTGCTTTTGAAAACCACACAGCGTACCCAACAGGTAGCACAAGTCAGATCCGAGTCCACAATTTTCACGATTTTTTAGGTATGGTCTCTGCTGTAGCATTCCAAAGTATCTGCAAAGATAGGTCAAGATACTTGGTCGAGATGATACGGCAGCACCACTACTTTGTCTCTTGGCAACTGAAGGGCACAGGAGAGCCTAACGCGGTAGCCGCCGAGGCCTTGTTCGGTTGCAAGAAAGCGCAACTGCAGCTGGTGCAATATTAATTAAGATAGAGGAATCTTCTGCAAGCAACTGCCCAGCAAATTGTTTGTTGCTGCCGATCACCAGTTGGCGGAGTGCCGATGAGCAACTCGAATGGTCGGGTGTGGGAGTTGATCATGTGACTGACAGCGCGCGAGCTCACGTACCTGCTCAGGTATGATTGTGGTGGGCAATGCGAATAGCGCAGCCGCAACCCAGCAAGCACCCAGCCAGCCGCTTGCTTCTAGCTGGAGCCAGTACCATGGAGCGACGAAATGCTGACACCGTCACCGGTGATCAGGGACAAACTCACTGTTCTCTGCCGAGCCAAAACAAGGTTTCGAGAGTGCACGCAAAAGACCAGTCAGATTGTCCCTGCAGTTATTTATCAAGCCAAGCGTGTCTTACGTCAAGCTCCTTGTGCAAAGGCAGTGCAGCGGAAAGCTCACAAAATTTTGGAACTAGGCGAATCCTCACGCTACAAGTTATTACTACGAGAAACAAAAGAAGATGTGTAATGCTCTTTCTGATTTCATGAGCACCCTCATGCTGGAGGGAGCCTCTTTTCATGATGAAGCCATTGAAATTGTACAAGACAACTGCCACATTCTACCAAACTCAAAGGCCCACAGCATGCGCTCCGATACGAGGCGAAGGGGCACTTCTTGTTGTGGACTGGTGTGTCGATGGGGTGGTCCAGCTCCAAGGCTCGCGCCAATGACACCAAAGGAATGCACAAAGCTCTGTGACGATGATGATTCGAGAATGGAGGACTTTACTCCACTGTTTGACTTTAATGAGGTGATGGCATTGGCCGCCACGAACCAAGTCCATGGCGCGGGCGGCTCGAGGACAGATATGGGTGGTTCCTTGCACAGCTCGTTCTCGTCACTTTGTTCGGATAGTCCACCTAGATCACCTGTGCGAAAGGCAAGCATCACCCTTGAAACCTGCTCTATTCCGATTGAAGAACTCAGCAGACTGAATCTTGGCGACGGCAATGACAGCGACAGCAGCAGTTGTTGCAGCATGGATGATTCAAACATTAAGCTACTAGGAGGTTTGGATCGATGGTCTATGGCCGACAGTTTTTTGAATGCCTCCAACGCAAGTTTCTTTGACGACAGGGGCGACCAATTTGCAATGGAGTGCGGTCCAACTCCTGCATCATCTAATCTTGGGAGTCATGAGGAGGAGCCTCTCACAAAGTTGAAAGACTCTGCTGAATGCACTCCTTTAAGATCCCGATGGGCAACATCGAAAGTCGAAAGCATAGTCCCCAATGTGCAAGCATCTATGATGGCATAGAACAGAGGCGGGCCATCACTGCATAAAGACAGTACATTTGCGGTGTGGCTGATAAGCTAAGAATAATCTCACTACTTGCATTATTACTGTAGTTATTCCCGTCCCATTATTATGATTCCAGACAAGTCCCGTTGTCAGGCCGCGCTTGCCGTGTTGTGCTCATCCTCCTCAACCGAATCAAATCACGGAGGCTATCCCCATTATTCTCGCTCGACTTGGCGGTGGTGGTTGCCAAGGAGGAAGGTAGCCCCAGTGTTTTCTTCTCCATGTTTTCAGGGGTCCCTTGTCTCTGTGGTTTGCGAGGAGGCGGCGCGAGTACTGGAGAGTGCTGCGTTTTGACTCCGGAGGTGGTATCTGCGGTGCTGCTCATGATGCCATTCTTCAAGTCGATGAAATCACTTCGTAATGTTTGCCGAGAACCAGCCGAAACGGGCGACGACGATGCCGACGCTGATATCCTCTGCACATACTGGTCCGTATCAGTCAGGCTGGATACACTTGTGTTTAAGGAAGAGAGACTGCGCCAAAGTGATGACACTGGAGCCTCTTGTGGGTGTAGCCGATCCAGGTTGGTTTGCAGAGCACTGAGCATGACGCTCTTCAGACGAGAACTCGTTCGCCGTGTGGGCGGCCGCGGGGGTCTATTGGCAGAAGGCGATTCGTAGGAAGGCAACACGCTGATGTTGCTATTGCTTCGAGAAACTGGACTACTGGTACTTGTTTCGGTAGCTTCCGAAGGGCGATCCAATGATGCTGACATGTCGAGACAACTACTCTCGTCGACATATTCACATCGTCGTCAAAGCTCACCTGCCTACGAGGAGGTTGGAGCACCTTTCGCTTGATTTCACACTTGGGCGCATCCCCACAATCACCCCCCGTCGTGGAAATTGTGCTGGCGGTTCCGCTGCAGCACATGCCCGAGCTGGAGCTGTCCCACCGAGAGATTTCAGAGATAGATGACGAACAAGAGGGCATGTCGTCCAGCCCAGGAGTTTTCAGTGATGGACAGTTGTCTTGCACGAAAACAACAGTAGTGCAAGAGGAGGCCTCCAGGAGGTCTCCCAGAAAGGAACCGAGTGCCGCACTCATTGTATGGGTCAACAGGCGGAAAAACTTTTTGTGATAGGAGCGAGCGGATGCAGGATATCTACCTGCAATGGATTTTTTTTAAGACCAAAGATCCCAAGCAATCCAATGCCAACAATCGCTTGCCTTCGTTGGTGCCAGTCCAGTCGAGGAATGATTGGCAATCGGCAACTTTGGAGCAACAGAGAAAGACTGAGACGCAAGGGTATCAAGCAAGTTGGAGTTCCTGCAGAACAACAATGATGAATCACTAATAACTACCACGATCTACACAGCTCTGGCAGCGTGAACAGTGGTTGAGTTCTGTACAAAATGTAAGTACTCCAGGAAAAAGTGACCAAGCTGCAAGTAAAAATTACAATTTACAGCGAAATCGTCGGTCCAATTAATTACGGAGGAGAACCCAAATGCTCCAGATGCCTAAAGTCCTCAAGCTTCTTTGCCCAAGAGTCTCGCTCAACATGTTTCAGTCTGGTTTGAAGAGTTCGCAAAGTGCCTGCTTTGGGTGAAAAGAGCACTGTCGGATCAAAGATCTCCGTAATACGTGTCTCCAGTCAAGGTTTCCAAATAACAAGGGCTTAACAATAAGAGCTCCATATCTTGCCTTCTCAAACCTAGTGACAAAACTGGAATTATAAGGACAAGACCTTCTGTCATTACCCTAAGTATGGTTCCCAGAGTCTGTCCACGAGTCGAGCAGGAGTCCTTTAAATTCTTAATTGAATCGAAGCATTGTTGAAGAAGAATGGTGGTCTGTGGTCTGTGTGAACTGTGAACCTCCAGTTGCTCCTTCTTCAGGAAGCCATCGTGCCAGCTTAGGTTACCGCTCGAATGATCCAGTTGAAAATCTTTGGCCCCAGCAACCGAAGTGGCCACATACATCAACATGACCAGCCATCAGTTCGAGTGTTCAAGGAACAAAGCACCAATGCGTTGAGAAGGTGAGAAGGTTCCTTCACGGGTAGCAGTCTCCCTTCAACTTGCTTTGCTCGACTTCTGGAAGCAATGACTTAGTCTCAGTCATCAATGAACAAAATAATAATGTGGGTGCCTGGAAACTGGAAACCGAACATCCGTTCCTCCGATGCCAACCAGAGGTGTGAACTGTGTCCTTGAGCTGTCCTTGTTCAAGTTCCCGGATGCCTTGGCATGATCCCAGAGTTGCCGACCCATTTGCAACTCAGCTGCACCTGGGACAAGCACAATTCAATTCAGGGGTACGGTATCCAATGCAAGAACAAGAGTCGCCGGAAACATCAACTGCGGTGTTGGATCCGAGGGGAAGCATATCCAATCGAAATCTTCAAGGGCGAGGATGCACAGGTTCTTGCATGCTGCAGCACTTGAGATGAGGCCAAAACTTATCCTGGAGCGACATCTAAAACTGGAGCCCATCACATCCTTCTTTTCGAAGACCAACCCTCACCAGCATCAAGATCCGCGGTTGAATTCAAAAAGTCAGGGCCAATGCGTGTTGGTACCCCTTTGTCGCCCTGATCCCACGGAACCTACCCAAATTCCTCCGCTTCTTGGCCTACTAGACTGACTACTCTCATCCAGGTAGCTCTCAAAAATTTCTGTGGTCGTTTCTTTATCACCCAGCTCGCAGAACGTGGATATTGATTTGTCCACGATTAGGCTCCACGGTCTTTGAAGCCCGGTGCGGGTGAAGTTTTGCCACTTATTACTTGCTATGATGACATTGTCTGCAACGAGCACTGAAGCTCGGACAAGCGTAGGATGTGCTACTGCACGCTTTAGCTCTCTTCCTCTCTCTCTAGGAGTCCCTCGGAAGGTCCCTTTTTGGAATGCATTTCGTCAGGCTCCTTCTCCGGGGGTCCACTGTCGATAGTTTATATGTGGCCGCCGAGATAGCCATGAATGATAGTGACTACGATGAAAGTCGAGTCTCTTGTCAAAACAAGGCCGAAGCTACTGTGTGACTGCACCACAAGCAGTCCCCCCCCTTTCAAATCCATGCCCGGCCCAAGTGGCTAGGTTGAAATGGCCTGCGCTGTGTTCAGCCCAGCCAGCAGACTTGCCGTCCGGCTGAGACAGAGAAGTTGAAAAGAGCAGCTTGTCTATTATTTCAAAACAGTACTTGTACCGGTGTGCTCATACGATTTCAGCAAAAGCCCGTGTTTATTATTCTGTTTCTATTGCTATTGCCATTCCTGAGCCAGCTTCTTTCTATTTCTACTACAGCGTAGTCTACCGTAGCCAGCTAGCTAGCTAGCTGGTGCGTCAGACCAGCCAACCACCAAGCTAGCTAGCTACTGCTTCACTTTGGCCAATGCATTCACGAGAGCTTCAAAGGACTCGAACTCAGGTGACGGTCGTCGCTTGGCCCGAACCGGAGAGGCATCTGCCGAGTCACAATCCGAGAAGGAGCTCTTTTCCAGCTGTGGAGACGGCCTCCTCTTGGCACAGGATGGCATGGAGTCTCGACTGCTGCTCTTTTGCTTGGACGACCTTCTTTGTAGACTGCTGCGGCTGCTGCTACTGCTACTCCTGTCGAGGATGTCTTCCTGATCGCTGTTTCGACGACAGAGTCTTGCTCTTGCCACATTGTCTTGTTTCTGTTGTTCGTCTTCATGATCATCTTCAAAGTCTTCTGCACTGATACAGACTTCACGATGTATCTTTTCCAGTACCAAAACTGGGTTTTCTTTGAGAAGAGAGGGTCTGTATTCATCTCCTTGCGGCGACGTCAGCATGGAAGTGAGTGGATCGGACTGTACATGAAGGAAGGAGACTCCATAACGTCTTCGAGCAACCTTTTGTACATCACAGTCGAGCTGGTCCTCCGACGGGAGGCTTAGGTTTGTCGGAATGAGATCCGATGCCGAGCACTCCAAGCGGCGCAGACTGGCTTGTCGTTCGGGTGCTTTGGGTGGAGATCGGATGCACTTGTTGCTGCTGTTGCTACATGTAGTGGTAGTAGTAGCGGGTGCTGAATGACTGTGACGACGAGAACAGTCTCGTTGATCCAGTTCCGAAAGCAGAGTCCCTTTCAAGACATCCACTCTGGCGTGCCATCTTCTTGGTGGCGTGGGAGACAACTTGTGATTGAATGATTCCTCTTCATCTCCACTGTCGTCGTCTTCGTCTTCATCTTCACTGTACCCTCTAGTACACCACTCATCCTCGTCGTCGTCAGTGTCACTGGTCCACATCATGTCATCGACATCATTATTACTACTGGTTCCCCCCTCTTGCTGCTCGAGACTATCAATACTGGTCCGCCTTCTGGGTACCAATGGAGCTCGTGTCAACGACGTGTCGAGACTGTCGTCCATGGCGGTGCTGCCACTGCCGTCTTCTGCCAGAGACCCGAGTTGTCTACGCGAGTGGTCCGCACCGCAATAGCTCTCGGCTCCCCATCGATGCCGACAAAGTTCTGGGACAGAGGAATCCGAGATTCTTGGTGCGGGTGGAGGGATGAAACTCGCCGCCCGATACTCGGGAAGACCTCGAAGGTTGTCAATCACCACATTCACCGTTGAGGCATCCTTGAGGAGACTTTGCAGGAACACTGCCAGGGCCGGGCTCAGCATCTCCGTAGTTGAATCGTCGTCGTCCTCCTCTTCGGTCCAGTGTCCCTCCTCCTCGTCATCATCGTCTATTCTACTTGATATTGAATCCGCCATGTTGTTGTTTGTGTTTAAAATGAGGCAATCACAGGGCCTGTGATTGACCCAGGCTAGCTGCTAGTCCTGAACTGCTGATGGCAAAGAAATAGTAACCTCTTCTTTCTGTCAAAGTCTTTCACAGCTCCGCAAGGTCTTGTGACATTCGTAGAAAGCCCTTATCACAACGAATGGTTGGGTGACAAGCGCCCTTGGAAGCAGTAACCGAAAAAGTGCCAACCCTTTTTGAATAATACGGGTTCTATTGGAAGTAAGGAAGAAGAGAGGCCATCCGAGTGCTACTGCCGCCTTCGCGATGTGTACGACTCTTGTGGTGTAACAGGGCTACTTGCACATTGCACTTCGTACATGTGATTAGACGAGATGACGAGATAATATCATGACATCATGACTCATCATGAGAATGGAGGGGAGCCTTCCGGGATTCTCCAAGGTCACACTATATGCAACTTGTACAGAACGTCGTTAAGCAAAGAGTCTCTATCGGCGGGAATGGTCACTAATGCCAGCAATTGACCTTGGATTTATTGGAGAGAAGACGTGAAGTTGGAGCAAGTGATTTAGTAAGGGGCTTTTGGCTTAACAGGACAGTTTAGATCTGCCCTCACAAATGTCAAGACATTCTTTTTGGAATTCATGATGACTGATTGTTGGCAAAGGATTTACACAATCAAAGCTGCCAGGTTTAGACATTCCACACTCAGTAAGTCAACATGACAGGCACATGCACACCTAAATCTTGCCAGAAACAAGCAAACGAGCTTGCTGGCAGAAGTCCATAATTCGTCTCAACCCGCACGAAGTCTCGAAGAAGTGAGAGCCAAGGTCACAACCAAACCACCAAAGCTCTTTTAAGTTGCTGGTACCAATTGGCAAAGGCAAAAGGCAAAAGAAGGATCTTGCCAAAGAGGTTAGTGACGGGAACAATACTAATCGCTTATCAAGGGGTGCTTGGTCCTGTCTGGCTTCATCTCCATGTTCAATACCATGCTCCTAGCTCCTACTAGCATTAAATTTTATTTTTTGCAAATCCACAGTCACAATCCCCTGGCGGCACTTTTTGGGTCCGATGCAGCTTGTACGGTACTGGCGGGTGAACTTCACGCCTTATCGCCCCTTCCAGTCGCAATTTCTGGCTTGTTTCTGGTTCCTCCCAAGATACTACGCTACAAGTATTCAAGTAGACCTAAAGACCGCTTCGATTGCAGGAAGAAAGGAAGCATATCGAATGAATCAATCATACAGCCAGCTGTAGTCGTATCAGCAAGTGCAAGTACAACAACTGAGGTTTTCCCAGTAGCCGAGCTGACACTTGCTTTTGGTACTCTTTTGGGCTGGTGCGAGGCAGGCAGGTTCTTGGATGGTTGGCGAAGTGTTCCCTCACTTGATTTTTGCCCTTAGTTCCAGGTGACGGAGCGAGAAAATCGACCATGAGAACCAAAGCATTTGCATTGCGGCACCTATTGATACTAGTACCAGTACCTTTCCGAAAAGAAGTTTGCATGGCTGATGAGGAACAAACGCAATTGAGCCGGACTGTGCATGCAGGCTTCAAATGCCTTGTGTTCCGGCTTCCCTTGGTGAGGAAGTTGCCTGAGTTCCCAATCATGCAACTGGACCAGTCTTCCACGATGACGCACTGAGTTTGGCTGCACATTGTTTGTGTTCCATCTACCGTATCTACTTGCGAAGCCCTCCTCGTTTTCAATTCTTGCTTGCTTCTCATTCCGTTGCTTGTTTCGGCTTCTTCGAGTCGTCTTGAGCCCATTGTCGCTGCCTCTTTTCTTGGGCTGGCTGATGCTGGTACCTGAAGGGCTGTGCGTTAGGTTCGTTCGCATATGTACTTCGTTTGATTCTCGTTCCCAAGTCGTAGAGTGTATGCATCCTTGTCTAGCTAACTAGCAGTCGCAGACAGTTAGAGTGCCTAGATGTACATGTAATCAAATGGTTTCTGTGCTTCCAAGCTAGGTCCCGGCCCTCTACCAGGTACGATACCATGCTGGCCCAATGGCTACTGGTATTCTGGCTAAGCCGTTCTATGACTATTCAAACAGCTCTAATAGCTTATGTTTCCGGCAACTCCAGACCGAGCTCATTGCAGCCACAGATCCATCAAAGCAATCAAAGAGCCACAAAGCTCCACCCATGACGCATGAGCACAATCATAAAGTTGAACGCTCACCATGTAGAGTCATGTAGTCACTTTGAAGGGCAGTAAACTGAGAGTGCGGTAGCGTTACTACCAGCTAGCCGCAAGAACTGCTGGAAAGCCAACTTAGCAGAGCAGAGAGAAACGCCATCCAAGGTAGGTGAAAACACTGTGACTGTCCGGGTTGTTGGTTCCAACGGCCCGCTTCATTTGATCGACCTACAGTTTTGGCAAACATGTAATCACCACCCTGATGACGAAGAACTATGCTGCGTTCTTTCGGACTTACAACATGACTGATTAGCTTATATCTTCATCGGTTTGTATTCTCGGAAGGGAGTGTGTGATGCTGAAATGGTTCTGGTCTTGTTTGCTGCTAAGGGTAGTTGCTGTCGTCTGTCATGTTTCTCATCTTCCTGTCGTTCTTGCCTCGGTCTGCACAACTCTGTCCATAGAGAGAAAGAGAGGATATCAATTATGGTCTCAATGGCAAATCTCTCCTTCAAAGGATGCCTTTCTGTTACCAAAATATCGTCGAGATCATACGAGAAATAGCGGTACAATAGCGACACCGCAACCATTGTGAAGTCCAGCGGGACCTTGGCAATTTTCGTGTATACAGGCAAGATCCAAAAGAAAGATGAAATAAGCCGTTCGGTTGCTTGGTTTAGGCGTCGGTTCTAGTATCATCAGTAACGAATTTCCCCAGGGCACGCATAGTTCGACCAGAAGCTTCGCAGGACGCTTTCATATCTATCCCTTGAAAAACGAGCCTCAATTCGATTCTACCGTATTGATTGAAACACCTAGCTACGTGTGGAAGAGTTCCAATTGGTTAGTTTGTTGGTATTGCCAATAGAGAACCGTTCATTACACCCAATAATTGGAGGCGAGAGAAGGAAGCTTGGACCAGTATCGCACTACAAGCAATTTGCAGGTCAGCAGTGAAGCTGTTAAGCAAGAGCAACGTCGCTTGCGCTGGTCATTGTACCGAAACATGACGCTTTGCTGAGCGAATGGAACCAGAACATCAGAAAAGCAAAGCAAGACACTTTCTTAACGCACAAACCTGGAATCATGAGCTTTTGATTAGGACATCAGCATCAGCACAATTGTTGGAATTGGTTTGTTTTCCGTTAGTTTCGGTCTTAAGTTTTTTAATTACTGGTACCAACACAAGAAACATTGGTTACACCAACAAATCGGAAGCACAACGTCTTTGCTTTGCTGCGTGACGGAACAACCACAAACCATAAGGAGGCTGTCACATCTGCTTCTTGCAGCGAAAATGAGGATGGATTGATTGCATTCATTGAGACTCGACTCCAGGTAATATCCTGGACCGAAACAAGCACGCAATCGGATCCTTTTGGATGTTGTCGAGTTCCTGGAGTTTGTCGCCGCAAACATGTTGCACTTGGTAGTGTGGTCATCCTGATTTGGATTCTAAGGAAGGAATACCGCATCCACACGGTTGTACTTGCAGAACATCCACTACGAGAGAATGCACTTCCTTTGTTTTCTACTGTAAAAAGCTATGGTCTATTTTATGGTTGTTCTCCACGCTGTACCGTATGGTATCTTGAAATTCTTGTCATGTAAGAATGCAATATGAACTTTGTGTGCCCCTAAGTCAGTGTTGGTCATGTCTTCTTTCTACGATGATTCGCTTGTTGCCAGAGCTGGATTGACGTATCGGTCACTGACGCCCAACACTTGTTGTTCTTCAAAGGGCATTTTTGCAATTTCCAAATGAATGGGATGAATGTATTGACATGTGGTGGGATTGAAATAGTGTGCATCTTCTTCCAGTACGCGGTTCCAATCCCATCCATCGGCCGAAAATTCCAGGGTGTTGCGTAGAATGTTGGTTTGCATTTGTGCGGGTGTGTCCCAGAGAAACCCGCGAATGCGATTGGAATAGTCGTGTCGTGTAGGGATGGGAATCACACTGACTTGGGGGTCAAAGTGAACATGGTGGTGGTGCTGTTCCGATGACGAAGCAGTGCTTGTTGTGTCGCTTTCTTGTTCGAGTGGCTGTAGGGACCACAACGCTCCCATGGCATTGAGAACCTTGGTGGTGTGACAGGCTTCGCGTGTGCTCTGGGGACTATCATCGCGGGCTTCTTCTTCGACCAAAAATTCTCCGCCAGAGAGTGGAATTTTCTCCACCTTGGCGTGCCGCAGCAACGATCCTCGTCGAGGTTGTTGAGGATAGGTTGGAGTGGAAGGGATACCCAGCTTGCGCAACAGGTTGGATCGCAATCGTGACGACGAGGAGGTTCTCCGAATCACTCCACGAACGGGTTCTGGCTTGTTGAGAACCCTTTCATCATCATGCCCTTTGCCGTTGTCGCCACCGCTGGTGATCATAGCACCCGATCGATGCAATGAAGTTACGCTACTATCTGTTTCCAATAAAAGCATTGTCATGGACTATTAATAGTTGGTTGTGTTGTTTGTTGTTGCAATGTGATGGATTTCTTTCAAGGAGGTGTTGTCAGAATGTTATGAGATAGCAAGGTCCAGCTGGGAGTTGTCAACAGTCCAACAAATTGTTAACCGGTTCGGAACAAAAAGAATTCCGATCCGACCAGCAATTGAAACGTGCCCCAGTTAGTTTTTGCGGTTTGGCACGAACATTGGTCTGACCAACCGTGCGGCTAATAAGGGACGTTACGGAGGCTCAGCTTCTAAAACACTCAAGATTTGTCTCATCCTTGGCACCTTTAGAAGGAGTCTACAGATCACCAAGAGAACCAGCAAATTGCGAACACAGAAAGTTTCATGCATTCCATAAGCCTTTGCCGTACCGGTACCCATCCTCACGATCAAGCAAGGAGACCGTGGGAGTTGAGTGAGCTACTAGCTAGTAGCTGGCACAATACAGGGTACAGGGAGGAACCAGCCTTCGGATCATTCTTTGCTTCCTGGATATGGGAGGAGGTTGGAGGGGAGCACAGATAAAACATCATGAAAGGTCTGCCTTCCGACTTTGGATGCTCAAAATAGCTAGCTAGGTAGAGTACGTACACCTTGTGCTTTCCGTTAGGGACGGGGTAGAGTAGCACATCCCGTGGCTTCGTTTCTTACTTGGCTCCATGGCTGCCTGGTGACAACAGCCCAGCCAGCGGCAATTAGTAGTCTAAATGTAGCTCCTTCTCGCGGTTGTGGTGGGATACCCTTGGCTGGCTGCGATCGAGGTGCGGAAGTCTGCTCATTGCAACTAGCAACCATAGAGGTGTGTACGACACCGTATACCTGGTATCAACTCGTGGAGGGGACTACACCTGCTGGACCAACAGCCGGCCCAACTGATGGACCTACCGTGCACCTAGCTATGCCAAAACCTGGACCAGCTCGCTCAGGGACCAAGGTTGCATAGGCCTACCTGAACACTCAATGCTGTTCGTCTAACGCACTGCATTTGTAGAGCTGGGAGAGCTGAACTCCGCGGCCTGCATGCATCTTGCCAAATCTCTGGCACCCCAGGAGGGCGAACGCACCTACCAGTATGGCTGCCTGTCTGTTACACGGCCGAGCCCCTGGACTGCCACCAGGCCAGCACCTGGACCTCCCGTTGCGTACTCCCGCCCTGCATGGCACCAGGTCGTTGTGTGCCGTAATCTGCTTTCGCCGGAAACATTCATTATTTGCCGCCGTGTATCACCCGTACGATGCAACTTTCCTCCTGGGCAACAACGGAGTATGCTACGTACAGTAGGATTCGATTCTCTCCTCACGCATTTGATAGTTGCATTCGAACAGGACGGGTCCATGCCAGTTGTGTGAGCATGCAGTGGTGCATTTTACGACTCGTATGTACGATTTCGGTTGTCCGCTGGTCGTCGCCCGATGAATTCAACATAGTCACCCGTTGTGCTGATCGGCGGCTTCCACAAGACAACGAAGCGAAGTGAATTGTTCTACGAAGGCTGTGAAGCGTTTTTCGAATATGAATCAACTTGCTCATTACTAGTCTTTCCTTGCATTAAAATAAAGCAATGTTGGTTGATAGGTTATGAACCTTTGGTCGTCATGTTCTGTCTTCTTATGGACAATGGAGCCATCGTTGTATGTTTGTCTTTATACCGGACGTCCTCCCCGTAGGCACACCGACAAGAAGGCGTCCATTAGAAATTGTAGTGATTTGCTCACTTTGACAGGCAAGCAAGAGTCAAGCTGCAGACGGATCCACTCCCTGCAAGGGCGAGTCGAGTCCACATAGACTTCCCTGCCTCTCGGATTCTTTCGTGTTTGCATCGTGTACATGCCGTTCTAGCTGCTGGCCGGAGACTCTGAGGCCGGCTCTTTACTGTTGGCAGTCTTCCTTTGCACCGTCTTTGCCACCTTGTGTTTCACCCGTTTTAGCAAGCCTTTCCTCCCGGCTGACTTTTCTTCTGGAGACTCAAATGCATCGTCTGCCTGTTGTGGTTTCCTCTCGCCCACATCGAAGGATCGACGCGACGGCAACATTTTGGAGGACGCGACCTTGGTGAGCATGTCCAGTTCACCGCCCGCTTCTGTGGTTGGTGCCGTGTTGGTTTGCTTTCGTTCTTCATTATCAAGATTGTTGCTGTTGGCTTCCAGCAGCAATCGAAGTGTCCCTGTCTGTCGAGGAAGGACTCGAAGATGAGGTGGATGATTCGGGAAGCTCTCCAGAATGGGCAACCCATCATCATTCATGGACGACGTCCGTCGGTGTCTCCCACGATTTCGTCCTCGAGTGCATTTGCTGTCGGATTGCGACGATGTGATGGTGGCGGAGTCCCTAACATGGGAAAAATCGGAAGAGACCCTTCGTTTCAGATGGGTGGGGGCTTGATCTCTATTGACGCCCAGAGACTGTATATCTCTCACCACACTCTGCACGGAAGGGTGATCCACCGAGGCAGCTCCACGTTCTCTTCTGTCAATGTCAATGTGTTCACTGTCGTCATTGTGTTCGCTTTCACTGAATTCTAGTTGGAAACTGCCGTTGCTGTCATCAATGTCGTCCGCTTGCTCTTCCACGGTGAAAGATCGTCTTCTCGCGTTTTTCATTTCTAACTCCGCCGTGCGCCCTGGTCCCTCGGGTGGCGGGGAATGAACCCTTCCACTGGTTCGTCTTATGGGAACCCTCGGTGGAAGTTTCTTCTTCATGGAGACTTCTTGAACGTCTTCCGGCGCGAGAGTTTCTAGTTGATTCAAGGACTGCGACAAGGCTCGTCGACAACTGTTGCTGTCCGCTTCGTCTAGCAGTTTATTATGAGACCGATCCACTTCGAAACTAGTACGTCGTTGCGGTCTTGTCGGTGAGGCATGCCAGGCAGCCTTCTCGTCGGTGCGTTCCGGCTGTGGTGGTGGCGTCCGGACTACGTGAGACTCCCAGCGAGAAAGCTCTGATATGGACGACAGCGAGCTGGAGTTGCGGGCTTCCAGCAGGTGTCGACTCTCTGTGTACTTGTCTGGTAGTATCGCAGCATTGTCAGTGATAATGGTGACATCCAGCTGATCCAGAGACGTGTTCTCCTGCAGCAACCCCATCAGGAAGGAAGATAGCGGATTGTTTCGCATGTTCATGTCGAAATCGACTTGCATCGCTGGATGGATACTACTGCTACTCGGGGGTTCTTCTAATGTTGATGCTATCGCGTCAACTGATGTCATGGACTGGGGCTGAGAATGGAGCTCCTCTTCGGCCGACGCATGATCCGTTTCATCGTGCCCAACAGCGTCCTCCATCTTGTTAAGACAACGTGGGTCTCTCGGTGCCATTCAGCTTCTCTTTTCTATAAAGTTATTCCTGGTGGCTGCTGCCTGCCGGCACCTCTCGTTGCGCGGGAGCTTGTAGTTTGGGCTGTACTATTGCTTCGTCGCTTCAAAGAGGGAAGGTTTGACAACCCAAGCAATCCCAACAAGTCCTTGTCCTTGTCTGCAGGCTGACTGTTACTTCTTGCTTTGGAGTTTGTATGCAGTGTCAGTTCGGGAGGGTTGGAGGCTTAGCTTCCCGAAACTGTTCTTACCGTGAATTGAGGGCTTTTGTGGAAGAGTTGGCTTCAGCCTTTTCACTCGGGTTTCAACGATTCAATCTAAAAGCCAAGTCACGAGAGACCTAGCAAAATATTACTTTACCGTTGCTTTGAATATGTTAAAACTTAGAAAATGGATTATTTATTCAAATAAGTTACATTTGGATACGTACTGATTAAAAATGGTCAAATAATAATACAAAAAAGGTTATGAAAATGTTATAAATATCCAAACAAACCAACTAACCGTCAGAAAGCGTGAACATTAATGAGATGCTTTCGTTTAAGCAGCGATCTCACGTCTTACAGTGACAGTGGAGCACTACACAAGATGAGATTTAGGCCCTCACAAAAATGAGATGGTCGAAGCTGCAAAGAGGGAACATTCTGGTACCAGCATTGGCTGCTATTTAGTGCGGCTGAGACCTCCATCGTCGGGCTTTTATCCTTGCTGGCACCGATGTGTACTAACACATGAATTTGTCACCAATTTGGCAACTGATTGACGGCCCTTGTCAAGGGGTGGATGTGGATGGCATGAATACATACATGTAGCTCATTCATCATGCATGTGGATGGCATGCAGAGGCCTTGGGGTGGTGTACATGTATGTACTCTAGCTAGACTAGCTAGTACGAGTAGCGCGATATTATTGTTCTTGCCAGAGTTTGTAGGAGTGATTGCCATGTCATCACAGCTCATGACAGCTTTGAGTTTGGAAGAGAGGGAGTGGGCGAGCGAGAGGGATAAATTAATTGGTGCGATTATTGGTGGTGATATGCCATAACGGTACCTGTACCGGCAGTAAGATGTACCGGTGCCAGTTTGTTACGCCCCTTGATTAGAATTGCATGACGCAATGAACGACAATGGTACTGGGCAACAGCTGGGAAGCGCTGACATAGCTACTTTGAGCCCATGCAGGTTCGAGGGATAGATATGCAGCTTCAAGGAACTTGCTTGACACCGTTCCTTCACTTCACCCTTCACGCCTCACAGGTCACAGCTACATGTAGATGACACATGTAGCTGCATGCCGAGACTCGTCCCTCTCTGCCCGCCGAGATTGTCCAGGGAGAGGGGCCACGAGGCTGCAGCTAGCTAGCCAGGGATGAACAATAGCCTTCTCTTTTCTCTTCCAACATTCAGACTTCCAAACACAGTCCCTGCATGTTGTACTAAGGAACGGTGGAGAATTGGCAAGCCAATCTACACGTATGCATACCGCACCTGAAGCGAGCATTGATAACTAAGGTTTTCACTGAAGGTCTCGCTTGGTTGCAAGTGGTGAGGGCATTCGGCCTGGCTCTTCGGTGCAAAAAGCCCAACGCTGTGTTTGAAGGCCGCCGGCAGAATACAGAATACTGTATCGCATGGGGGAACAACCACTGATTGGTACCTCATCAGTTTCAGATTGGCGCCCGCTCAAGCAAACTGTAGCTGCGGCTCTCGCATTGTTCCTTCTCCGCAAATTACGAATGGAGGGAGGAGTGTCATGTCTGGCCAAGAGGAGCTCGAAGCCAATCCTGCTTGTTTGGCTGGCAGTGGGGATAGGCCTTGTGGCGAGAGGACGAAAAGTGCTGTCCCTATTACTACATGTATGTAGAGCCGATACCCAGCACTCTGAGATACGTACGTATACGCATTACTGATAGCAAGTCAACTCGTCACTCCTTCCAGCCAGTGTTATTGTGCGCTGCTTAGAATCAGCCATCTGGGCCACCACTGCAACTTCCAGCTTGTGAGGTTCAATATACTTCTTTCAACGAGTACTCTCTTCTTCTTCCACCCCTTGATTATTAGTTGCCAGGCGCTGACCATCGATGTGTGTCGTACTGCCTCCTTCCTTCGGGCTGGGCTACTAGCTAGTACGTGGAGGGAACCCTGCTCCTTCGGCTGCACCGCAGCCAGCGAGTTGGCTGAGCGTACCAGTACGGAAGAACAACGCGGGTGACGGATGTAGATACAGAAAGCAACGGGCGGCCACTGGCCGCTGATCCAGCGAGCCTTGCGTCCTCTTTCTCATCAAATGAATGGCTGTGCCTACTCTCTGTCGTGCAGCTTGCTCTCTGACAGCTACGGTACCATTCTTCAGTGTTTTGCAGCGGGTAGGTAGTCTAGCTAGGCAGTAGAGGAAGGGCTGCATCTGCATCTCTGACTCACTTTGGGCGACCTCTTCCAAATTCCAAAAATTATTTTTCTCAATGGTCGGTGGGAGTGCCGTAAGCACAACGACAGCTCAGTCAGCAGTGTAAGACGCTCCGTTCGAAGGGGCTTTCCGTTAAATGTTGAAGGCAAACATTGAAGATGGTCTTCTTCCGAAACAACGTGGCAAAGGAAAATTATTTAACATGAAATAACCATTTCTGGCTTCCGTTTCCCCTTCAAAGTCATTGAACAAGACATCGTTAAGTCTACTGGTACCGGTAATCGACGCACTTACCTTTTCCGAGTGCTCCGATGACTCAACAACGAATGCTATCGAACAAATATGACCGTGCTCACAATTTTGCTCAATGTGGAAGACGAAAAAGTTCGCCAGCGCATTGCAACAACGGCTTCGTCATCGATACCGCTAACTGCAACTCCAGAGTACTAGTAGAGTGTACTAGTACATGTAGTCCTCACGAAAAGCTTGTTGACGTTGGTCGTTGAGTTCATTCATAATGTTGAAGACAAGGAATTCGAATATCACAACAAGTCACAATGTCTACAATGAACGCTTCGCCTCTCTCGACCTTTATGCAAGGCCTGATATCATGCAGCTCTCTGGTTGGTGAAGAGATCACTGTGGAGATCCATCAAGACAGCTGTGGTACGCTGTCGGATCAAGCCCGAGAGATGGTGAGGCAATCCTACCGCTCTTCGGTTGCGCAAGAGGGTTGTTCAAGGTGGGACAGTACCTTTGAACGCCTCGAAGCAACCAAATGCAAGAACGAAGCAAACGAGAAGTCTAACGACCTGGAGAAAGTCTTCCCCATTTTGCCGTACCGAAGATTGTCCCTCGGAGCGGGAGAGGATGCGTGGGAACCACGAAGCAACAAGAAGAACCAGCCAGTGGACAGGACACCCAACCTCCCACCAAGAGATGCCGCTTTCAGGTCCAGCCTTCGTTGGGCTCTGGCACTCGAAGAAGACAGCAAGTTGCAGTCCCCCAAAAGATGCCCCGTTATCGAGACTGATGATGACACAGACTCGGAAACGGAGTGCAGCTACGCAGAGTCGGAACTGGACTTTGATGCCTACGAGACCGATCCCGACTCGGACTCTGAGGACGAATGTGATGACGAGATGGACAGCTCCGAGTACGACGCTCGCTGGGCCACCCAAAAGGTGAATCCTCACGAATGGACATTTCCCGCCAACTCGATCTTGCCAAACTTCCAAGCCCTGATCCGAGAGGCAGCACAAAACGAAGATGTCGATCTGAACAAGTGCTTTCAGTCCTCGCGTCGCAACTTGCCTCACATTCGGCAAAGATGCTAGGGAGGAACTTTGCTCGTTTGACTAACTACACCAATCGTCACGCACTGAACATACACTACTGAACATATACGTGTACTATGCAAGCTGCTTACCTTTGTATATATCATCGCAGCAATGCACATAATTGAATATAATGTTGTTGATAAAATCATAAAACGTGTCTGCCTCCAATTACAACTATACAGTCCAGCAGTAGCGAACCATGATCGATAGCAACTGTAACGATGAGAGCTGCGCTTGGCAAGACTTTAGCACACCACAGATTGTTTCCTCCTCCAGACTTACGCCATGATCTCGACTCGGTAGTGTGGCTCTGCAGAGACAGCAGCTCCTCCCGGCGCTCTGACTCAAGTCTTTCGCCGTTGCCGCTCCAATCCATCTCGACTCGGAAACGTGGCTCTGCGGATACAGCAGCTCCTCCAGGCCCTTCGAAGTCCAACCTCTCGGATTTCCAAGACACACTACTCAGCATATGCCGGTCGGGGACAGATAAAGTGCAACATTCTCCATTCCTGGACTGACTATGCATGCTGTGGTAGGACAAGCCATCGCACCTGCTTCTGCTGGTCGATCCACATAGCCCGCCTGCACTTGGACGGAAGAACCGCAGGCCAAGCAAAAGGACTCCGAACCCACGCGGCACACACCTAATGCAACACCTGGTGGTGGTGCATGATCTGCAGTGCGGGAATAGAATCACCTTGACGCAGTCCTCAACCCACACCATCTCATCTTCTTCCGTCCAAAAGTACTACACCAGGACTACACCAGGTTAGCCGCCCGTGCAAAAACTGACCCCACCAACTTGCATGAGCTCTTGCATTACTGTTTCACTTTTTGAATTAGTGAAACTTTTGCAAGAAAAAGTGAAACTATGTAATGTAAAGAGTAGACAATCCTTATTGCGGACACGCTAATATATGTATGCTGTGATCTGTTCCTTTGGTTATGAGTAATCAAATGTTACATGATTAGACAAATACGATCTGGCGATGACGATATAGGATATAGCATGCGCTTTTTTGAACCAAATCGCTAGATATACATGTACTGTAGCGAACCCTCCGAACGGGAACAAATAATTGGCCTTGTGAAAGCTATTTATGTCTCCGTGGATCTCGCAAGCCAAACCATTTGGCCCCCGTAACGGTCCTCACTTTCTTGCCCCTGATCCCACAGAACCTAGTCCTGAATTTGGACTGTTCTTTGTGTAAGCCTGGCCCCGGCTGGCTTCCGTAGATAATTTCCCTACTCTAAACCCCCGTTGATAATTGAGCAATCACTTTGTTTCTTCAAACTTACGCCATTGCTCAGGCGTCCAGTGCTTTCCCGATTCTCCATAAAATTTGTCGATCGATGCTTTGTCTCCAATGCTTCTTTGACTCCGCATTGTCTGGGCTTTTGCCTTGAACCCAGAAGCTTCTTTCAATTTCACCATTGGCACCAATTTTTGCGGTCGAGGCAGATCCCTCCTTGAGTTGGTAACCATAAATAGACTTGTTCTCGCAATCCTTCGAGTACACCGCCAAGACGCCATAGGTTGCGAATCGGGAATTGGTTGGAAAGAGAATAGAAAGTTGCGGCTCGGCTCCCAGTGTAACACCCTTTAATAACTCTTGCCAGTTCTCGCAGTGACCAAACAAACGTCGTGACTCGTACGGTGCATTGTAGAGCACTTTCGGATTTTCCAAGAACCATTTCGACGGTACAAAGTACTCATCCGATGTGCCAGTCAAGCCCCTGGCCAAAAGGAAGAGAACAAAGATGCCCTCCCAACCATTTCCAGAATATGTTTTGGAATCGCGAATAGTGTCGCAAAGCTTTTGCGCATGACTCGCAATGTGCCTGTAAGAAAACTTACGTTCCGTTGCCAGATGAGACAAGACGGAGCTCAGATGAAATGGCACCCAGCGAATAACACTTGGACCTTGCTCGTTGCCTGCCGTGTCAAGAATCATATGAAGCTGTTTCGGGACCTTCTTGGTTTCGCCACTAAGAAGAGAACAAAGTATATTCATGAAATCATCATCCAAGTTCTTCGATTCGCTGAGAAAATTGTCGATAAAGGTCTCGCGTTTGCCAACGATCAATCTCACGCATGTTGTTGACCCATAAATCAGCCCCGGAAGCAGTCCAAAGTAGATCGCTTCCCGCGCCGAGTCCAGATTTGATCTTAACTTCATCTAAGAAGCGCAATTGTAGGTAATTCTGAAAACGAGACCTCAGGTCTCGTTTGGGAAGCACATCCCAACCTCTCCTTCCGAACCAAGTCCAAGGTTCCAATTAGGCAACCGGTGCTCCAGGTTGGGAAGTGACGTACTTTACAATCTACTACTGGCAGGGGAAACAACTTCAGCCGTGGGTATGTTACCCTTTGTGCCCATTGGTGTATCCAACCGTTAAGTCATTATCTACTAAAAAGAAGTCACATCGCCAACCGTTTTTGGATGGTCAGAACATGAGAATGCATTCCCAACAAAAATAGATCCTGCACAGAGGGGCTATTAATCGCAGAGGCGTTACCTACCAAAACGGACCTGCAGGTGGCCAAGTTTCAACTAAAAACAGCTAAAAAGAATAAGAATAGGATAAGAGGGGAATATCAAAAGGCTAGATTTTTAACGCTAATCCAAATAGAGCGTACTGAGTCACCAAAAAAGAGGATCACCGTAAAAGTCCTCATGGTGAAAGGGGTGAAAAGGGGTGAAAAAGGCTAACCAGATGGGCAACCACCACCGACCAAATTAACAAGATCAGCCAAAGGAAAGGGAGGCAATGGGTACCGAAAAAGCACCGGAAGGCTTCGAACAGAGAGAACTGGGAAAAAAATTTCTCACAAAAGCCCTGCCAAAAAGCACCAAGGGAATCAAAAGGCGGCCAAGGGCTTCCCATTCAATGGGGCCTTGGCTGCCAATTGACAACCTGGAAGGACCCTAGTCACAGTCCACCAGATCATCGTAGGAACGCTTGCCTTCTTCTTCTTGTTCACGGCATCCGGATCGGGCTCGTGGTTTTTCCTTTCCACAATATTGAACATCCATTTCAGCATTTGTTGTTCTGCATCTTGGGCATTGGGCTTGGCACGGGCATCCTGAACCTCAAGCTTGAGGGCATTGTAGCGCCTTCGGCCTGCATTGGACCAACCTCCATACTTGGCATTGCCCACCTTGGAGTTTGAGTACTTGGTAGCAAACTTTTTTGTCTCCGAGTCCTTGCTGCTCTTGGGGGCAGTCATTTCTTTCTGCCACAGTCATTGTTCCAGGCTGGAAGCAGAGGTTCCATCTGGTGTAGGAGTTCTCGTAGATGAGGAGGGTCATTGCCTCAGCTCCGGGAGGAACACACAGCTTTCCCTTCCACTTGGCCCACACTAATCAACTGGTTGTGCGGATTGACTCCCTAAACCAGCTGGATGCACCAGCAACACATGGCAAAAGCTTCTCCGTGTAAAGGGAAGAATGCAGCTTGATTTCCTCACGCGCTGCCTTTTCTTGTGCACTGGCATCTTGGCAAGGTCTTCAAGAGGAACCTCCCGCATCACCACAGCTTTGAGCTGTTCCGGAGTTGGCATCTTGCGAGTCCATGTGCAGCACAAAAGTCCTCGGTCTTGATGTACATCTGGTTAACGACGAAGTTGCGTTGCATTCATGATTGCCGTGATATCATCTTTCCAATCGGGCAACCCGTGCGGCGCGCCTTTCCTTGATCACTGTGAAGAAAGAGAAGAACAACAGTTCCAGATTGGTCAGGTTCACTGGGCAACTAGACAACCAAAAGGTTTCCGATCGAAGTAGCGAGAACTTAACCCTTGTCCTTCTTACGCTCGCCGGTCAACAAGAACGCCTTCTTGCCCAGTCGATCCGGTACAAGATAGGCAATGGCTCCCAGAATTTCTCGGCTGCTAATTCTTGTTCAATCCAGGTATTCTTCTGAACACAGCCGGAAGCTGCTATCTAATCATACTCCCTTGATGTTGTGCCCAAGGCTTTCTTCAGATCGAAGTTGTCAGGTCTCTCCATCTATCAGGCTTTCCTTGTCGGCTTCTCGTTCTTTTTTTTCTCCTTCCTCGTACAAAGCTAATGTAGTAATTGACCTTCTCACTATCTTTAAGAGACTCCACATGCTTGACATGGTCATCTTTGTCTCAACCAATCAGT